ATTAAAACAATTAATATATTTTCCCATTTAATTAGTCCCACCTACCATTTAATAAAATTAAATAAAATTTAATTAATTTTTCATGAATTAAGAAATAATTTTATTAATTGAAAATTGAAATTGAAGGATGTTTTTGGTACTTTCTGAAGTTCAAGCATGAATTGGTTCAAAAATAAAAGTTGAGGGACCAATTAAGGTATTTAACCTCAAAAATATGTTAGTCACGTCAGCATCATTATTCAATTAATCATTAAATAGAAAAAGTTGAAAGCTGATATCCTTAAATAGAAAATGTTGAAAGTTGACATCTTTATTTAGAAACTGACAAAATTAACATCCTTAAATAAAAAAAAGTGCAAAGTTATAATCCTTATTTGCACATTTACTCCAACACTTATTGTAGCTCCTTCAACCCCTTCGCTTTCCCATATCACAAACGGGATGGGGAGTGCCCGAATGTAACTCTAACAGAGCTTAAACTTTTCTTATAAATTTAAACATTTAAGGTTTTTCTTACCTATATAGGTAAGAACACCTTTTTTTATATTAACTATTATTAAAAGAATAAAAATTAATATTTATTTATTTAATTGTTTAATTAAAATAATTTACATGTTGTTAATTATGAAATTAATATCAATTTTTATTATTTTAGATGTCAATTGATGTAAAAATATATATTAATTATATTCTTAATGTATATATTTTAAAATAAATAAAATTTTAAAAATTTATTAAAATATATAATTTTTTTTTGAGAGGTTAACCTAAGGCTTTACCTATTAAAAAGTTCATGAATCATTCACAGTTTTATATAAGTATATATCTCTTTTAATTTAAATTGCATAATTTGAAACAATTTTTTTTTTATTTCTTTACATAAGTCTTCTAAACTAATATTTTTAAGATGAAAGTTCAAAAAATCTTAAATTAAAAGGCAATTCTTAATATTTAAAAATCTGTGTATATTTAATAATTTAAATTATAGAATTTTGTGCAGTGTGAACACATTTTTGTTACTAGTATATAATAATTAATCAATTATTGTAATTTTTAATTCAGCGTACCTTTTCCCAAAAAGACTGGCCAATATCTGATTTGTTGCGCACCGGGCACGCCAAAGTCTGATGCTTCCTGCTAGAGCGCTACTGCGTCAGCCGTCAGCTCCACCACTGTTATGCCATCAACGCCTCTTCTGTAGCCTTGGACCCCCAGTCCCCACCTCTAATAATCTGCTCTCACCGGCTCA